TTCTTGGTCTTCCTGCTTCATCTTGAATCCTGTTTTTCTGGTGTCCGGATTTGAGATTCTTGTAAATTTGGCATCCTTTGTAGTTGGCCGGGTGTCCCTCCAGGCGTAGTGCACACACTGCAGGATCTTGTATCGCTTTTGTGCACTCCACTGATTTGTGCTGTTCACCGCATTTCACGCATCGCGGCAGATGGTGACAATAAATCTTAGTGTGGGCATACGCCTGACAATTATGGCACTGCACTATTTCTCTCTTGGGGTATGGTTTCTCTACTTTCACCATTGTGTAATATAATCTTGTGATATCGTATATTTTTTCAATACCGGGTGATGGTTCCAGATCCACGAAAAATAAAGGTAGTGGTACTTTATTTTTTACTCCAGGTTGCTCCTTATTCTCCTTCAGAACGTTGGTTGACGTACTTTGAAACCAAGCGCCGCTAGTTCTTCTTTTATCAGTTCAGTTGGGGTTGAGGAGTGTAAATTTCTTATTACTACTCGTAACGATCTCTCCTGCCTAAGCTGGTACATTTGAAAGTTCGCATTCGTTTCTGAGAGGTACTTCACCATTATTCGGTAGGTTTCAGCAGTATCTGGTGTTATTTTTGTATCGTTGGTCCTGTTTAGACATGAATAACTGACAGAGCAGATTTTATTTAGTTGGGTGCAGAACAACTGGAAATTTTTGATGTTTTTCACAAATATCGGAGGAGGCCTTGGTTCGGTGGGCATTGCTGCCATTACCATTACCTCTCGGTCATTTTGAAGCACTTGGTAAGGGTTTGGAGTAAAGAAAGGGGATTCTTCGATCATTTCTTGAGAAGAAGTTCCTGGTTGTGGCTGAGGTTCTGGATCTGAAGTGTTCACTTTTGTTGTTGGAGATGTTTCTCGTAGGCAGCGACGAGTTCTTTGTTTGACTGGTGAGTTAACTCCGTGAATCCTCTTGGGCACCTTACTGGACATCACTTGGTGAGTATACCGCATACCATAAGAGAAGAAAGAAAGAAAAAAAGGTTAAAAAAAAAATATGTATCAAACAGCAATATAAACTGCTCTGCTGTACACGTGAAATGTATTCAATGAAAAAGTCAGAGAGATTCCACTTAAAAATAGGCAAATACTGAGAGACCAGTTGAGAGCACAACCATCCAATCAGCTGATTCACAACCTTCACCTCCTAATAGGTGTGTAAAAGACACCTTCGGTTCTATGGTTTTGGAAGGTTCTTTTCTTGATCCGGATCACTCAGTTTTTTCTTGGTATCGGGATTTTTGGTATCTGGATTTAATATTCTTGTATATCTAGCAGCCTTAGTAGTTCGCCGAATGTCCTTCATGGCACAAAGCACAGACTGCAGTTTCTTGTTAAGATTTGGTGCAGTCACCAGTTTTGTGTTGTCCACCGCATTTTACACAACGCGGCAAATGATGACACTACTTCTTCGTGTGGCCGTAAGCCGGTTTCTCCACCCTTACACGTGTGTAGTATAATCTTGTAACCTCGTAGATTCTTTCCATTTCGGGAGTCAGCTCCAGATTTTTTAAAAACAGAGGTAGAGGAACTTTTACTCCTGGGTGTTCCTTATTCTCCTTTAGAACATTTGTTATCTGGCGCACTTTGAAACCTAAAGTTTTTAGTTCTTTTTCTATTGTTTCAGTTGGTGTTGAGGGGTGTAGGTTTCTTACAACCACTCTTAAAGCTCGCTCCTGCCGTAATTGATACGTGTGAAAGTCTGCTTTGGTCTCTGTTAGATACTTCACAATTTTTCTATAAGTCTCAACTGTATCTGGTGATATTTTGGTGTCATTCGTTCTGCTTAGACTTGAGTAGCTTCCGGAGCCTGCTATCTTGTTTAGTTGAGAACACAGTAATTGAAAATGCTTTATATTCTTAATGAATATTAGTGGAGGTTGGGGGTTTCTTGGAGTCGGTGCGGACTCCATTACATCACTGTCATTCTGAAGCACCTGATAGGGGTTGTGTGTAAAAAAAAGGGGATTCTTCAATTGTCACTTGTGATGATGTACCTGGTAGAGGTTGAAATTCTTCAATGTTCTCTTGTGGTGATGTACCTGGCTGCTTTTCATGTTCCTCGGAGCTAACAGGTGTCATTGGAGGTGTTTGACGAGACTTACGAGGCTTTTGTTTGGCCGGAGAAGAAGATGAAGGTGTCGGGCCTAACGACCTAGTTCTCTTATTAGTCACTCTACTAGTGATATTCATGGTAATAATAATAAAAATTAAAAAAAAAAAAAAAAACTATATGTTTATAACTGTACACAGTAAATATCAACTTTCTGGTGTATTCTTGGTCTGTTTTAAGTGAATAATAACAGAGAATCTTCTCAAAAAGCAGTAAATAATGAGAGCTGAATTAGAAACACAACATTGCTCATCAGCTGATCGATCAGCTGTCTTCGTAGAAAATCTAAGAACTAAATATGGTGTTGTATATTAGTTCTAGAAGTATTCATCTGTTTGAAACATAAATATAAAAGAACAAAATATATGTAGCTGAGCTCTGAATTTATAAGTTAATTTATTGCCCAGCTTCAATAGATTGCCTTGCATCCGGCTGATTTACAATAATTAAGGCATGTTTTAGAGTTCAGTACCTATAGGCAAACATCCGTGGCTCTACAGCCCTTGTAGGGTCTTGACCTCCACAACAACGCCTCTCTAATCCTCTCTATCAGCAGTCTCCACATCATCAATCCATCTAAGTCTAGGCCTTCCTCTCCTTCTTTTGCCTCCTGGTTTACCATATAATAGTCTTTTGGGTATCTATCTTCACCCATCCTTCCTACGTGCCCAAGCCATCTTATTTGATACGGCTTGATTTAAAGTAAGTGACTATGTCTGGTTCTTTATGCAGTCCTTGAAGTTCTCTATTATTTCTTATTTTCCATTGGCCATAAATACATATTGGCGCAATGATTTGCCGAAGGACCTTTCTTTCCTAGATCCGGAGGATCTTTTCGCATTCCTGGGTCAGGACCATGTTTCACCTGCGTAAGTGACAATTGGTCTCAAGATATTCTTATAAACCAGTAGCTTTGCCCTCCGCGAAAGGTTTCGAAAACGCAATGTTTTCTGTAATGCAAAAAGAAATCTGTTGCCTGTTGTGATTCTTGCTTTAATTTCTACAGCGATGTCATTTTTGTACCTCACTTAGGCTCCAAGATATTTGAAACTGCTAGCTTTCTTAAAAGTGTGGTGGAGCAGTTGCATGCTATCCTATCATCCCTGTCCCTCACTTTTTGAGGATGTCATATATTGGGTTTTTTCCTTATTTATTTTAAGACCTAATTTTTTCCCATCTTCTTCAAACTCCTGTAAAGCCCCTGGATAGTGCCGCTTAGATCTTTACGATGTTGCCCCGTAATCAGGATACGCTAATTGTTGGGTAAGTCTATTATAGATTGTTCCTCCTGCGTTTGTCTTTACTGCTCTAGCCGCTTACTCCAATGCAGTATTAAATAATACAGGTGAGAGAGGACCTCCTTGGCGTAAACCATTCACTACCTCAAATTATTCTGACAGTGTTCGGTATCTTTACCATGGATCTGTTTTTTTCAAGGGTCTTCTTTTTGTTGTGGTGCCTACAATTTCCTCTGTTACTTCTCTGAGAACATCTTTAAGTTGTTTCCACTTTTCTTCTATATTCATATTGGTAGACACTTGTTCTCTCAGCCTTTCTGTTATTTTTCCTTGGAATTGTTGAGCTACAGCTTCCTCTTTAATTTTTCAACATTGTAAGTGGTAGTGTTTCTTACATTCCCTTTTTCTCTTAGCGCCAACTTTTGTTTATATAAAATCCTGATCAGATAATGGTATGAGTCACAGTTAGCTCCCCTATAACTGCGGACATAAAAAGTATCACTGGCGTTCTGGCATCAATGAAAACATGGTCGATTTGCTTTTTGTATTTCTATAAGATATTATAATCCTATAGGAATATATAATATCAAATATATTATTGATTATAAGATACTCCTTATGAATATTTTTATGAGGGAAAAACGTGCTTCTTATTCTAAGGTTCCTTGTCATTGCAAAATCAACCATTCTCAGTCCATTATCGCTGGTTTCCTCATGTTTACTGCGATTGCCTATTGTTGGGAAGAATATCTTTTCTTTTCCTATCCTATCATTAAAATCTCCCAGAATTATTTTGACATTATGCATAGGTAAGGAATCATGTATCCTTTCTAAAATTCCATAGAATGGCACCAGAAGCTCACATACGTCACTACGAGGAAGTGGGAGTAGGACTTGCTATCACATCCTCTTGAGGACTAGGGCCGTTGCTCGGTTTTTTCCTGTGCTATGGGCGATACCCATGGCTCTCAGCGGAATAGGGTATGTCGATACATAACCTATCCCGCCGAGAGCCATTGATTGCCATTACACCGCTATTTAAGTTTGTTACTATAAGTAGTGCATTATTCAGTGTTTTCGACATGAAGCGTAGACCAAAATTGAATTAGGAAAAGGAAAGAAAGTAAGACAAAATCATTAGAAGTCATACCTAGCATGTGCTTAAATATATAAAGAAAGTAGTTTCTAGGGATGTCAATTATTCCCTCTTGGTAAGGGGGCTCCATTTCACACTTTAGCGGAATGCCCCTGACGGAGCCAGCTCGGGTCTGCGAAGTGATCCCACTTTATTAGTTATCTACTTTAATGTGACACTTCTAAATGTTGAAGGATTAAAATAAACATTAGTACATTAATAATTCTTCAATATTAAGATAATACACTATAATCCATTTAATAGATAAGTAATCTTTCATCAAATAATTAAATAGGGATTTATCTGAAATATTTTTATCCAGAATACAAATTTTCATTTTAAAATTAAATTTAATAATAATTAAATATAGTCAGGAAATTCTTCTCTTTATAATTTTCTTATTTAATGAACTGTTTTGATAGTTACTCACTGAGTAATACTCAGTAAGTGTAAAAAATCGATACTAGAAGTTTACTAAAGTCGATAGCGCTATCAAAATAATGAAGTAAAACTCCCAACGTGGGGTCCGTAGACGTGTCACGGGACCAGTTGGAAGAAGTGTTGTGTGTTAAGACGTGAGACTCTCTAGGAACAAGCATTTGTACTTTCGTCTCGTCTCGACAACGTATAGGAGTGTTACCTTTTAACACTTTACTACATCATGGTCATTAAATCAAAACCAATTTTCACTAAAGAAGAAGAACTTCTTCTTCAAGATTTTAGCAGGAATGTATCTACTAAGTCTTCTGCACTTTTTTATGGAAATGCATTTATAGTTTCCGCCATACCTATTTGTAAGTACATTTATTCTCTTATGATCATTTTAAATTAAAAACAATAGTTCAACCACTCTGGATTATTTGATGTTTGTTTTCCATAGGGCTTTTCTGGAGGATTCATATGATTGATGTTTACAGTTCTGTATTGGCTTTTGTGGTTGTTACTCTGTTGAATACTTATTTAGTGGCTTTTGCCTACAAAAACACTAAATTCATTCTGAAACATAAGGTAAGACTTTGTTCTAATTTTTACTAATTGATGTCTAACAAAGAGACATTGTGTTGTTGTTGATACAGGGGATCATTGTTTTAAATAATGCTATTATTATGCTATCTATGAATCAAACTTAAATAAATATTGTTTTATAAATATTCCCTTTGTATCAATCATCATTCATTTTGTTATAGTGAAGAATCTGTTCATTCATAAAAGAGAAGTTGGTAAGGTATTGCAGTAATTGGAAGTACACAAAAATAAATTTTATTTATTTTCTTTGTGCCAACATTTCGGCATAAGTTTCAGTACTGCTAGGATATAATTATTGGATATCGGACGAGCCTTATTCATTTATTTTTATCTACTTACAATAGCAGCAATCCCAAACAAACTTCTTTTAAATCATTATTTAATTAATCTGATAAAAACTTTTACTTCATGCTGTTCCTTTCCATCCCATGAAGTTTTATTTTTATTTATGACTTTTAATTTTAATTTCTGTGAAGATGTATATGTGTATACTGTCTGTTTAGAGCTATCTATCTACCTCATCAATGGAAGGATTTATATAATTTTGGGAAGAATATGCATTATTTTCTTAACAAAGTTATAGTTGTATATTTTTCTTTTTTATATATATCATCAATCATTCTTTATCATTTGTCATTATAAAAAAAGTTACATTCTTTCATTTACACAATCATCATAAACAATATTAGAATAATTTGAAAGCATTTTATTGCTATATTACTTTACTGTCTGGAGGTGTTCACGAGGGTTGTTAATGTCTTTCTAGTTATTTTTATATTGAGTGTAAGAATTGTATTGAACATTTCGCTTCTATTACAGTCCTTAGCCATGTTTTCTATTGTGGATTCTTATATATATATCATGTACTTGGCCTAGCTGTCTTAAATCGTAGGTTGTACTTGGTTTTGTCCCTTATCAATCTGATAGTGTTGATAATTTTATTGGTAAATCCGATTATTCGTATGATTTAAACTCATAGATAACTTTGTTCACTCCTAAGAATTAATTGTTATCTGAATTCCTTGAATCTGTTTTATTTTATTTTCTTTGGTAGTAGTTTGTATTATTAGTTGTCTACTATCCAGAGTATCTCCCTCCCTCCCCCACATAACAATTTTTTTTTAGATTATGTTTTAAATAACCCTATTTTAAAAAGAAAAAACCCTTAGATTAGGCATTGCTTATTTTAATGTTTGTTGAAAAGTTATATTTAATATCTAGAAGTACTATTAGTAAATTGTATTTCTTTTATTACGTTAATTGTTATGTTTGTGAACATGGAGTGCCGAAGATACAAAAATTTATAAATATTTGTTAATTGTATTTTTTTTCTTTTGCATGTTTTATAATTTAAATAGTATATAGTCTCTATTTTACTTTGTAACTTTTCATAAACAGAGTCTAGAATGGTCCATTAAATGAGGTGCCATTTAAGAAAAAACGAATTATTGAAATATCAATAATAAAAAAAAGTACCAAACAAAGTCATTTCTAACGTGTGATAATGTTTGTAATTCATTTGTTTGTCTGAGGAAGGTTGCGTTCCTGATTGGAGTATGTTATCTCATAACACTGTTAACGATCACACACTGTAATTTAATGTTTTTTTGCTAATAAAAGCCTATTTTATGGGTGAAACTTTCATTTTCATTTCACAATTTAACATCTCTATTATGTAATTTTAATTTCTAAACACTCAAATTATACAGCTACAGCACTCTGAAGTCCAATGTTTTAATTTTCACCATAGATGATTCAAACTTTTTAAACATCAATTTATTGAAGTATTTTATATAACCTAGGAAACAATCTTACATTTTTTCTGCCTAGACTTTTTTTAAGTATACTTAAAATACATTATCCTTTGTGTCTGCTTCATTCAAATAAAAGTAAGATGTGAACATTTTAAATTAGGTATTGTCATTTCTGAGAAATACGATTATATAGTGTTGAAAACATTAATTCAATTGATTAAAACTAAATTCTAACGAATATTTGTTAATAAATCTACATTTCCGTAGGCATATCGATTTATTTGTTCTGAAAATTCTACAAAATTAAATTTTAAAAATTGAAGGTTTTGGAATCATTGAAAAAAAAAACTGCTCTGCTCGAAGCTGAGTAGGAGTATATAAATCGGGTCCTTGGTACTAGTCCCCATTTAAATTCATTCTTCCCATTCGATGTAGGAAAAACCAAGTTCATCCTCGATGATTTAAAACACCTCCTTAGTATCCCTTATCCTCATCTACTTCTGGTAAAAAATCTTTCAAGTTACTTTTGAACAGCACCTGTCTTTAATTAACCAAATTTCTTTAATCACTCTTCTCTTATTTTTCTTTATTTTGGCTATGGTGGCTAATTTATTAATGGATTGTGGATTGCTATCTGATTTGTTTGAAATGAGACTAAAAACATATGGATATTGTATTAAATTTATTTTGTGGACTCCCAGGTGCTATCATATTTTCCCCATGTATACTGACGTACGGTGGTGTTTTTTGCTTCTTTCATTTTTCTGAGACATTATAACCAAATATCGATTACCTAATTCAAAAAACATCCTGTATTAATCTTAATTCACTCTTTCAACAAAAGATTCCTATATATCAATCTGTATCGATGTATAAGAATCTTTTGTAGAATCTTTCGATTTGTATTGACTTGTAGCCCTACCATAGAACTGCTTACTAGAAAATCCCTAGTATTAAGCACTAATAGGATTTTGGTCATGAGAAAAAAAAGAAGTATATATATTAAAAGAATTAATTTTTTAAACAAGGCACTGAAACTTAACATGGGGTTAGCCATTTTCTGACTGTTATATAAATAGGAATAGGAATAGGATGGTTTTAAGGGTGGATGAGAAGGGAGCATGACGGATTTTTAAAGTGAGGGAATTACAGAAATTAGCGGAGTGTGCAACGAAGGAGTTTTGGAAAAATACAGATCTGTGAAAAGGGGTATAAAGTTCAGATGATCAGGATCGTGTGATAAGTGAGTTCGGGGTAGCCGAATGGGCTAACGCGTGTGCACTGCACCGCCGTTGCCCGGCAACCGGATATATGATTCTATGATATGAAAATAGTCACGAGTTCGCGTTCCGGTGCCAGAGGGGATTTTAAATTCCCCGCCCTCACCCTCTGGTCCGGGAAAATCCCGTATAGCCTAAAAGGCGAGGTAGGGAAGAACAGAAAAAAAAAAAAAAAAAGGATTGTGTGATAAGAGAGTGGACAGAGGACTTGAATTGGAGAAGATCATAAGCATAGGAGGGGTGATGGCTGTTGATAATCTGATTAAGAAATGAGCCTAGGAAATATTGTCTATGGAAGGAAGGGAAGAGCAACCCCAACTCAGTGTAGGGATGGGAGACACAGGAATGTCTAGGGGTCCCGACAATAAATCTGACAAAGTTTATTATTATACTTATATATTACATATGAGCTTATTATACATATGCAAAAACAAAATTAACTGAGTATCAAGGCAATGGCTCATGCCATAATCCTGAGTTTACTGTTCATATATTAAATACAAGCAATAAAATAAATAATTAATTTAAATAGAATACATAATTGAAGTAGAATACATAATCAATCAAAATGAACTTACAAATCTAAATAAAAACAAGTGATTCATTCCAATATCCTGATCGCAGAAAAAATGATAATGAAGAACTGAATAAAAGAAATCCTCAGCAACAATCACCCAGTTTATGACTCCTTCAATTGAGTAGCCATTATCTGATCTAGAAGTTTTGTACTGAATATTACAGTTGAGAAGATTCTCTGAAGATCCAGGAAAATTGCAGAAGAAATATTGACTCGAGGAACCTCAATCCAACGCAGCCATGCCTCTCAGTCTGGCTAAGCTGCCTCATTACTTGAAGAGTTATTCCTCTCTGTGAATTTTTTAATACTTGAGAGCAAATGTTTTCTGTAGCCACTGTATTATTATTATTTGAGTAATTTTTTTCTAAAAAAAGGGATTATCTTGCATCAAATAAAGTAATTTTAATTTTTTTTTTGTTATTATGTTTTATGTGATAGCCATTTATCACATAAAACATGAGGTTCTGCTTCATTTGAATAGTTTTCTATTCTAGGCAGGTCAACATAGTCTTCAAATAGCTCATCACTGTATGATATTTTGTCATCCCTCATCAAGTGTGAAGCATTTTCAATGTATAAAAACCAAAGCTATGGTATAATTTAGAAATGTATGAAGAAAGTTTCGATGCTGATATTATTGCGAATATTAGTGCATCACATTTCTTATTCTACTTATGCAAGCACGCACCGTCTTTTATTTTTTATAATCATTGTCTCTATAAACATTTTCGGCAAGTTTTATATTACAGTATTTTTATATATTCTATAAAAATCATCTGTATTCTTTGTTGTTTAACATTTCTGAGCATATCCTTTTAAAATACATCAACTGCAGCTTTTATTACTCAGAGTCGTTCTTTTTGAAGATCTGATTTTTCTTGCAAATGAATGGTAATCTATTAGATGTTTCAGCTATAACTTAACCCATGCGTTCCAAATAGTGGTGTTTGTTTCTAGTATCAGACGGATTTTCACCTATTTGCTCTATCAGTTCATGTTAAGGGAAAACTCAGTACTGTGTGTTCAGTACTACCTCTGGCATAACATTGGTATCGAATGCAGGCAAATTTATTTTATTTCTAGAACCTATTCACAGACAGGAGTTCTTTAGCTGCGCTCAAGATGTTTATAAACCAGATGCAAGTTGTCAACATTAATTTTTGACTATATTAAAAAAAAAAAATCATGTTAATGCTTTCTCTGAAGTAAATAGGGCAGTATTCTCTTGATTTTAGATTACATAGATTGTTTTTTTCCTGAATGGAAATTGTATATTACCAAACTGACTACGTTTGTTCCTAGAGACAGGTATAAAAATAATATTCGCAATGGGTAAAAATCAATTATTACACCAATAATGAATATTACTTGCAAATTACCATAAATCTTTTCACTATAATGTTTAATGATTAATACAATATAAGTATAGACTACTAATAAAGTTTATATCACAATTTCTTTTATCTAGGAAGATTATTTTGTATTAGTTATTTATTTGCATTATTCAAGGTTTTTGTTAACTCATTCTCTTCTTTTAGAATTATTTTATTTTTATATTAAATTGCATTACAGGGCAAATAAGAGAAGAAATATAAATTAAAAATGTAATTTAATAAATATATAGATTGAAGGAAGAGAATGAGTTCACAATAACCTTGAATAATACTAACATGCTGTTTTAAATGTTACGAACACATTACTAAAGTTGAAGTTTTGTGATTTTATCAGATGCTTGATTTTCAGAAAGAAAAAAAATTGAATTTTCAAGATTTACATTACCCTAAATTAAATGATATTATTTGCTTATTATAATAAATCTTTTTATACAACTAAATTTCCATGATAACATGATATAATAATGTATATATATATATTACGCAGGTAGTGTTTTTCATTTTACAAAGTCTTATAAAATTTGGTAAATATATATATTGCCAAATACTGTCATTTTATCTCAATCAGTATTAGGTCTTCTGTAGACCTATTGTCGAAAAATAGGTTCTTTGTTATTAAAACTCTCAAACTCCTTACTCGATACATTTTTCAGAAAATTTATCAGGTATAATTTGGAAAGTATTGAGTCTAATGTTGTAGATTTGTTTTCTCTTTGTTATAAAATTGGTTAATTTTAAAAGAGTAATAAGTCACTTTTACATTAGAATTGGTCCTTGGGGTTCAGAATCAATAAAACTATGTAAAATCCAAAACTTTTTCCATTTCTTTATCTGTTTAAAATAAGAAGGTCTTTTGAGGTTGAAAACTTCGATTTATCATTATCCATCTATCACATACAACATAACAATCCGAACTACCTGATTTGATATGCATGGTTAAATGTGCCATTTTAATTGACTACCTACAGTAGTTGGATCTGTAGATGATATTGTAAATTTTTTTGTTATCAAGAAATAATTCCTTACTTCATTAGACCTCAAAATATTGTGTTTATAGTATAATTTTTAGTGCATAAAAAAAATTTAACGTAATTTGGTACGAAGAATTATTATTATTATTTTTTTTAATACATGCTTGTTAAGACATACATCTATTATAGTCCTACTCTTTTAACTTTGATATATCTTGTTATTATCGATTGCGTTATTTATTTATTGCTCTTTATTCTTAGTAATATATTTTTTTATAGATTGCTGTAAAACGGGAAGAAGCCATTACTAGAGAAATATCTCGCAAAGTAGCAGAAGACAAGAAAATGAGTAAAAAAGAAAAGGATGAAAGGTTTAAATGTTTTCCCACATCTACTAAATATAATACTACATTAATATCATGATTAGTTATTTTTATGACTTGATTCCAGGATATTGTGGAAGAAAAATGAAGTTGCAGACTATGAAGCGACTACTTTTTCAATTTTCTACAACAACGCTCTGTTTTTAGCTCTTGTTATATTCATTAGCTTCTATGTTCTGAAAACATTTTCTCCCTCCATGTATCCTTTTTTGCTATTTTATTCTCAATAATTACCTATTTTATTAATTTGTATTTTTCTTCTTAAATAAGCAGATCATTGAGTTTTGAAAGGAGCTACCCTGTCTGCCCGATTCTTAGTCGTTTTTTTCTGAAATTCTCTCATGTAATATGTGGGCTTTGCCTACATTCTGGGTTGACTTATATTTAACGTAAGCTTATATTTGTTTTTTTCTTGAGAAAATTTCTGTATGCCATAACTCAGAACTTGTAATTCACTTCATGATTAATTTTTGTTTATGCTTTTTGATGGAAGACAGTTTTTATTGATAATAAGTGATAGCTTGTTCATTCGATACCACAAATTTTGAGACATGCATTAAAATATAATAAAAATATTTTTGTCTTAAATAGGATTAGGGATGATACGTATGTTCAAGGTGGTTGGTTTATTTATACAAAAATGAAAGCTATATAAAATCAAAACAGAAGAATAGGTGGTGCCTTAATCTTAATGGTACTTAAAATTTAGATTTGAAAATCTAAATTAGTTAGGTACTTAAGTTATACTCCTTATAAATCTCCACTAGTTGTGGCTAAAAATCACTCATCCTGTTTTCTTTTTATTCATTTTACGTGCCTACTTTTTTTTTTTTTTTTTTTTTATTCGAGTAAATTATAAATATTTTTACTAAATAAAGTTATTCTGGAGAACAATTTTTTTTTTTTTTTTTTTTTTCGAAAATTTTGTAAGTGCAAGAATTGATTAGTTTTTTAAATTTAAGTTTGATATTTGTGTAGGGGAGATTGACATTGCTGTAACTCTTTGCACTTAAGGTATGTCCTTTTAACCAGCGAAACTTCTCTATTTGGCAACAAGGCCATATGTGTAATTTATGTGTCAAGTTTCTAATGTCATAATGGCTATGTTAAGTTTAGTCATCACTAAGCCGAAGTTTAGCCTATGTTGCATTCAGTTTCATGCAAACATTACATCTGGATTTTTATATCATTTCCACAAAAGAGAAACTAATTAAAAAATTAGAAAGAATGAATGTTGTATATTCTTAGGTATGTATATAATAATAATAAAAGGCTTAGCGAACCCGAAGGTTCGATGCCGACACCACCAATCGCTTATTACACACTTCCCCCCAGCATTCGCCGTCCAAACCCATTCCCTTAAGATCAGCTTTAAAGCAATCTTCCCACCTTCGCCTCAGTCTTCCCCTTGGACTTTTACCATTCAGTGCAGCAAATATTAACGTTTTAGGAATTCTTTCATTAGTAAACCCAACAATTTTACAAGCCCATTTGATTCACCGCGAAGTAATCACTTCAATTATATTAACCGGATACAGTTCACGGTATTCGGCGTTGTGTAACCATCTGAACTCTCCGGTTAACTCATCCTTCTTTGGTCCGAATATTCTACGCAATACTTTATTTTCAAAAACGTTGAGCTGTTGCTCATCCCTTAATGTAAGCGACCATGTTTCGCATCCATAAAGAACTGTAGGTAAGATAATGATTCTATAGATTCTAGTTCTTAGGTTCTGGGACAAGAGGCGCTAGCTTAGTAGTTTGTCACAGAAAAATAACAAGCATTTCCCGCCTTCAGCCTAACCTTAATATACTCTCCAATTTTGTTTTTTGTAGTTACTGTAGACCCTAGATACCTAAACTTCTCTATCTGTTCAAACAAATTACCTTTTATATTAATATCGTCTGCAATTTCACCATTTTTGCAGCTAACCATATATTTTGTCTTATCCATGTTTATTTTGAGCCCTAGTTCTTTACCGGCTTTCATTAACGTTGTCGTATTTTAGTTTTATAGTTTCCGTGTCTTCGCTTAACAGAAACAGATCATCTGCATAGCCAAGGACGGGTGTTGTCCCACCCAGATCCAACCTTTTTTCGGTACGCATTATCTCTAATGGCATGTTCTAATGCCAAATTGAACAGGACAGGCGAAAGGGAATTATCCTGTTTTAAACCCGAACAACTTCAAACTTTTCGGATAAATTATTACCGATTCTAACTTAATTTAATGTTTCCATCTAGCACATCCTGACTAGATTTACTAATTTTTTTGTAATCTCCACTCAATTAGAATATTATAGAGTTTTTGGCGATCAATAGAATTGTAAGCCTTTTTGAAATCGATATACAGCTGGTGAACAACACCGTTGTACTCTAATTTTTTCTCCAATATTTGCCATAAGGAAAATATTTGATCAATAGTCGGACGGTTCAGTCTAAATCCGCATTGGTAGTCTCCGATAATTTTCTTGGCGTATCCTGTGATTCGACTAGTTAAGGTTAAAGTGAATATTTTATAACATACCAGAAGGAATGAAATTCCTCGATAGTTATTAGAATCCGTCCTCGCGCCCTTTTTATGAATTGGAATAAGAATTGATTCTTTCCATTCTTCAGGTAATTTCTCATTCTCCCAGATCTTTTTAACCAACAAATTTATTTTAGAAACTTCAGCTTCCCCGCATGCCTTAATTAGTTCACTAGGAATATTATCGATTCCTGCTGCTTTATAAGATTTTAATTTTCCGATAGCTACTTCAAATTCCTCTAAACTTGGTGCTTCTATTAACAGTTCAGCACTCTGGTGCTCAGAAGGACACATAAAATATTGTCTAAATGGTTCTTAAACTTATTTAATATGTCTACCGGATCGGTCAGAATATTGTTATTCACATCCCTAATTCCAGACGTGGCTAACCCTAACATGTTATTTTTGATTCTATTAGTTTATATTTCTATTATTTTGTTTTTAAGATACTCCCTTTTTTTATTTTTGAGCAATTTCATTCTTTGAGGTTCGGAAGTATTCCGGATTGTCTTCGCTAGGATTATTTAGAGCTTTTAATTTAGCGGATTTTCTTTTTTCTCACATGGTTAAGCAATCTTCATCAAACCACAGTTTGTTATTCTTATTTTCCCTTTTTCCTAGATGCGACTTACCAACCTGTTTAATATTATCTCTAATCTCTACCGATAACTTGTCAATATCCTCCCGGTCCTCGTCAGAAGCTTCTAAAGCTTCAAACCTATTCTTAATATCTAGCTTGAATTGAGTTCTAATCGGTGGATTTTTTAATTTTTCCAAATTAAAATTCTTGAAATCTAAACAGTTTTCATTTCTCTTTTTTGTACTAAGTTTTTGTCGAAGTTTTACGATTACTAATTCATGATCCACATTCTGCTCCGCGATAAAACCGTACATTAATTATACTGCTTTGCCAGCTATGTTGTATCAAGACATGATCGATTTAATATAGTGTTTGTGAATCCGATGATGTCCAGGTATATTTATGAATATCCTTATCTTTAAACCTAGTACTTTTAATTATCAGGTTCTTTGAGATGGCAAAGTTGATCAGATGGATCCCATTATCATTACTATATCTGTGTAAACTTTCTTTACCAATCATCAGAACATAAACTTCTTTCCTTCCCACCTTTGCGTTCGCGTCACCTACAATTATTTTCATGGAGTTTCGCGATAGTTTATCATAAACCCATTCGAATTTATCATAAAATTCACATTTGACTTCATCGTCACTGTCTTCGGTCAGACAATGTATGTTTATTAAAGCGATTTTAAACCAATGTCTCTGAAATATAGCTACCGAAATTCTATCACTAAAGAATTGTACATCTCTCAAAGCAGATAGCAATCTATTCCTAATTAGAAACCCGGAACCTAAACAATGATTCCAGCTTCCTCCATACCAAATAATGTACTTTCCTTCCCTCATCGAGCCCTCCCCTGGCCAGTGAATCTCATGCAAAGCCATGACATCCAAATTGTACCCATTAACCTTATTTGCGACCGATTTTAACTCCCCTGCTGTGTTTAAACTCCTTACGTTCCACGTACCAATATTTAAATCCCTATTTTTCAACTTGCACCATGAATCCCCTAAAGCAGTCCCCACCCGGAGACCCGAACGGGAGACTAGTTTACCTCTGGATAATGAGCGTTTTAACTTAGGGAGATCCATGACTATTTGTGGTGTATGGTGAACTAAAGATATGTGAGTAGGGTGTTAAATTGGTAAAATAGGGGGCTAATGGGTGGGGTAACAGGAGGGCTGGAGAGGAAGATGGGTGCAGGAACCTCCCCACTCCTTGCAGAATGATCAAGCAGTAGTGCCCTACCCATTGCTTGTGACTTCTCAGTCATCTCTATTCCAGTCAACGCCTACTGTCACCTTTGTGGTGCACCCCAGGGAGTCGGATGGTACTCGGGAATGACCGAGGAGGGGATCCACACTTCTGCCTCTAATTTAGAGGGAAGTTGTGTGGATTCTTCTACGACACCCAAGCTAGGTGGAGGGTGCTCGAGCCATGGCTGAGTGGCAGGGGGTGTCTTAAATAAACATACACTGTCAATTCGACCCACTTAAGGTACCTGGCGCACCCAATGTAATTAGCGTTCTGCAAGGAGAAGGGGTAGGTTAGGTACCTGTAGTGAATTTTATCCACCCCCATACTCGCGGGAACAAAATGAAACCACAACAAAACAAGCAAACCTGGACAGATAACATTGGTAAAGACTCAGAAATGGACATGGAACTACTAACGGAGATGGAATTACTAGAGAAGGAAGTGGTTGGGAGATACTCAGAGGGACCATCGATGGACCCTCTAGAGGAAAATTCAAGAAGCTCGACTGAGACTATCTTAGTTGAGATTTCCAAGCTCTCTGTAATAACAGAGGAGGCTAAGGATTCGGCTGGTGGAAGTGGTGTCCCACCAAAACCCTAATTCTCTGGTGCACAGAGAAGGAAATATAAGAAGATGAAGAGGCTCAAGGCAAAGTCTGGGACTGAGTTACCAGTTAAAGCAGCTCTGGCTGCAAAGGCACCAGTTAGTGAAGAGTCCTGGCCAGTCACGAAGCGCACCAGGTCCTCCCGGGAACTCGACGCTAAGAAGGCTAGAAACAGGGAGGCTGGTGCAATTTTCTATGCTCTACCAGCTGAGGCAGTAGAGTGGCAATTATCCCTTGTGGATATCCATCTGTTCAGCTTTTCAAGGAGTAGGGTGAAGAAGTAAAAGCCCAGGTGATCACATCTGTTGATCAGCTGGAGTTCGGTAACATCATCCCTGAGTTTAGTGGCTTCAGCCACCATCTGGGGGGATGTATCATCGTTTGCTATGATCAAGCAACCAAAGATTGGTTCTACAGTGTAGTGGAGGGCTTCACTATCCGTGCTGGTAGTGTTGAGGAACTAAAAAAAAAACTCAGGGTAGGGGCATAATTCTCTGGCGAGAAAATCCCGGAGGAGCTACTTATTAGGAGACTTCGGATTCAAAATGGTAGGATCCCGGACATCGACAGTTGGTAGGTGTTGGGAACTAAGGTGGAAACAAATGGACTCTACGGAATCCTTTAAATCGCTGAAACAAGTATCTAAAACCTTGAGGACAGAAACATGATGGTGAAGTATGGCGTGGCCAAAGTTGTACTTAAGGTGTTTGAGAAGAAGCCGCCCAAACCTAGTGCACAAACCACAAAGGTGGGTGGGTACTGCTTCTTTAAAAATTCCCCAGGTAGAGGAAGTAGGGGGACTTCTGCTTCCACTAGTGAAATTGTATTAGCGTCTGAGCCAACTCGGGAAGGCTTATCTATGGTGGGTGTGGGGAGGGGAGTCTCCCGAGAAATCGGGACGGTGTACCACCTTGGACCCTGGTGGAGAGTGGTCCTCCTGCAGCTAGCTCCCGTTAATGATAGTTAAGCTGTTGCAGGTGAATCTCGCATCACTGCGTGGCAGCTTGTGGCATCCTTCAGCAGTATTTTAGTGGTAAGGATATTAATAGTGTACTGATTCAAGAACTTTACCTGTTCAAGAATAGGATTAGGGAATTGGACATGACTGGGTATAGCATAATTGCAGTGCCTGAGTGTCCGAGAACCTGTATCCTGTTCAAGAATAGAATTAAGCTGATGCCTCTGTGGCATCATTGTTTCAGAGACCTGGCAACTGTGATACATTATGGCATTTAATTATTTGTATGTGTATTTATGTATATATGTGCACATTTGTGATTTTAATAGTTATTATAATTTCCTTAATATGTGTATAGAAATTATATATTTTCTCTGGGAACAGCTGGAGGAGTGCTGGCTTTACTGTCAACAGGAACACAGTAAATATTGAATCAATATTTGATTTATGAGCAAATGAAGATGATTATTGTGTTTACACTCTTAATTGAGATGTTTAGTTATACAAACGGATACATTCTTATTCATACATTTTGCTGGAGTGATTAAAAACCATTCTATTTGAATAAAAGATATGAACAAAGATAATACCACTATTATTTTTGTATTATATGTGATATGTAAATGAAAAAAAAAAAAAATATATATATATATATGTATGTATATATATTCAATACATCTATTGTATATCCCTAACTTTTTGTGGTATTGACTTTCAATTTGTTAATTTAAAAAAAACTAATTTGAATAAAATAAATAACCAATTATATACATTTTTGTTTATATATAAATAAATAAAAAAAACATTGTTTAAAACTAAATACTGTTCTTTATTATAACATGCAATATCTGTGTGCATATTTTTATTAGCATCTTATAATTTGTAATTATTCATGTCATTAAGTCATTTTATTATTTTTTTAAAGATTCAAAACAAATTAATTTAACAATTATTTCTAGCCTTAAACATTGTTAAATTATTTGCAACTTAAGTTATATTGTCAATTTCGTTAATTTACAAAAATATGTATTGTCTTTTAAAGTAATACACAATTGTTTTGTTCATGATTAAATGTATTTAAAAAACAGCAAAACACTGTTCAGAACTAAATTCTGTTTTATACCATCTAAGTATGTATATGCTATTTTTTACGTACTGGTTTTTATTTATATCCAGAAATAAAGAAATAGCCGTATGAACTGTTGAATGCAGAAATGTACTTAATCAAAAACCAAAAACGTTAGCATTGAGATGGTCAATATTTTAGAGAAGTTTTATGAAGCTAGAATAATTATAGGTATTTCTTGTTAAGGAATTACTGTTTATATCCTCTTTTTAATCATGTCTCGAGCATGTTAAACTATTTTGAACCATAAAGTATATATAATAAATAATTAATTATTATGAAAATGACTTACATAACTTTTGCAAGCAACAGCTCATATTCTCAATTTTGTGTTAATTGTTTCCATATCTTTTTGGAATGGATCCGTTTAACACATTATTCCTGTCATCAAAAACTTGTAAAAGTGAATTTTCAAATTAGCTAAAAAAACTGGAATGTCAAAGTAATAGTGTTCTTAAATTGAATAGGTTATCAAAAACTGTAATTATATTTATTCAAGTATAAAGTAAACAAAAATATAATAATTAAAGACACTGTCATTATTAGAATTTCAATCATCTTCCAGGTGTGACTGAAATAGAAAAAAGGTTTTATTCATAATGTGATGTGTAAATGAATGTTATGACATTTTTTTTTTATATTTGAAACTTCCATTATACAAATCTATATAAAACATTTCCATGTGTAAACTTGTGATCAGATAAAAATAAAATTGTATTTATTACATCTTGCTTATTTTTATTCTAAATGTTTGGCCTTTAATATATTTTAGTATTACACAAGGCACAAAATTTTATACTTGAATCCATCAATAATTTAGTACATGTTTTAAGGAGGACACAAAAATATATATTTTTGCAGAATAAAATGTTAGGATAGGATGGTAACATGATAGATTCTAATGAAGAGAAGAATAGTTGGGGTGCTCAGTCAAAAAAGGAAGGCAAAAAATAAATTATAATATTTATTTTTTACATATGCCGACGTTTCGACCTGAAGTTCAGGCCTTCATCAGGGCTTTCTCCTTAAGTGTCAAGGGGAGAATCATAAAAAATTATTTTCTATGTGAAATGACAGTATTGTAAGGAAAAGGATGAAACGGGATAATTTATTGGCATGTCTGCTTCTAACCACCTCTTTTCTGTGACACTGCTTCAGTAGTACAAGCCTTTTACTTTCAAAAATCCAAGCACAGCTTGCTCAGAGGATACAGTCTGTGGGTCACCAATTTTAATCAAATTTTTTTTGGTGATTCTACATCGAAAAATATTATACATATGTGTGGATGGTGTTCTTTCCTATGTGCTCAGGAGCCGAGAAAAAAAAAATTTTATATAATTTCAAACATAATTTATATTATTTATTTTTGTCTTTACTTTTCCCGTATTTTTAGGCTACTAAATATCAATATTTTTTTTTGTACAATAAGAAAAAATTATAACTTATTGTATTAAATGAGTTCTAATGTATCATAAATTACAAAAACTAAAATGTGTTTCCAGTAGAGTAGGCCAAGAACATTTTTGTTATGAAAAATTAAATTAAATTTCTTTATAGGGCCGGTTAAAACTATTAAATACAAATTATTATATAAATAAGGAAATACAACCTTTAGTACTTGATTTTTTTTTCCCTGCCATCAACTAAAGCATTCATAACTTCACAGGATTTTCTTCAAATTCAACTTTAATATGACCATTGGTAAGCTGAATTTCTGCTCTTCCTACTGACACTGATAACTTAGTTTCTCACTTTTTAAATTTTTACCAGACCGGTTTTTCATAAATATTTTATGTGCCTGATAGCTAGAAGTAGGGGCACAATTTGGAGCAATTGGCGTAACAATATAGGAGAATTTTTTTTGTGAAAAACAGTTGATATATTCGTTTTTCGCATTTCAAAAAACTCTTAAATAAAAATTTTTATAGCAATAAAAAAATTAAAATTTTCTGCACTAAATTTTTTTCCTAGGCGCAGACTACGGGCAATCGCCCCAATAAAAATTTTGAGGGGGCGAAAATATCGTTTCGTTTCGGACCTCCAATAATTTGTGGCTAAAAAAAAAAAAAATTAAAATCACTAATCAATAAGCTAAATGAATGAATAAAATGTGTAAATTAAAATCGATTAAGAAAAGTCGACTAGCTAGGCTAGGGGCTAGTAGTAGGTATGTAACGATTTTATTGAAACCTAAATATTAAATATGTGCTTGTTTGTTTTAGGTAAAATATTTATAATACTATAAAATAAGGTTGTGTTTTATTATTTATTCACCATATTTATTTCAGTCTAGCTCAGCTACGTTTCGGCTAGTAAACCATCCATAAGATAAGCCCTATTAATTTTATGCACTGATGCAATTCTGCATTCTATGGTGGTGGTATTGGTCCTTGGTATACCTAAATATTACTTTTATTTAAAGTGTCTTCTATATTCAAAAATAATAATTTACAGAGTTTCTCATAAGTAGAGGGAAATATTTAAACAGGTTATAGTAGACCTCTAGAGCTATCAACAACTTCATATAAACAATAGTATTTCGTCAGAATAGAAGAAAATTTAATTTTTTTTAAGTAAGTCATGGTTTTTTATGAATAGAAAGCGATAACTAAAACATTATTTATTATAATTAATTAACAATTGCTTCCCTGTAAACTAAACAAAATTTGCTTCAAACAAAATTAGAGTTTGTTATTGTTAAAACCATTTAAATAAGACTTTTGAGCGAATTAACTAAGGTGGGATATAGAAAAATAAAAATGAATTATTCGCGATTTTTATTATCACCATCCAACAATACTAAAGACATCCCATTTTCAGAAAAACATTCTTGTCTAATAAGCTTTAAGTCCATATTAATTGACTTGTGGGTTTATTACGAAATAAGTTGAGATTCACCTCAAGTTCTATTAAAAAATTGTGTTTTGATATCCTGTCACCTGCAAAGCTTTAATTTATTTTTTTCTATTACCTGGGACGTATCATACACATTATTGTGTTATTATTATTTATATAATATTTACAACTGTATAAAAAAATACATCTAGTAAATTTGTACATGGATATAATGACATGAAACACATGTTGAGAAACTACCCATTGGTAGCACTCTAATAATACGTCTAAACTAGAAGATCATGGGGCCATTTTCTTTTCAGACGCCTCGAAGGGTTATCAGAAATTGAATAGGAAGCAAGATTAGAAACAAGAGAGTTGGGATGGTTATGAAGTTTATTATGGAAGTATAGATATCTGGATTGAGCCAAATCTGATACATAAGGAACATTAAGGTTATTGTGGATGATTGAGGATTTTACGAAGGATTTTGGATTGTAAGGATTGGATACAAGAGGAATTTGAAGGTTTGGTGGAGCTCCATAGCTCAACTCTGTAAGTCCAAATAGGCCTTATTATAGTCATGTCTTTTGTGATGAATTGGAATTGGTTAGAGCGTTTGTCTAGTAAGTGTTGAAGTAGTCTGAAACGTCTAGCGGTTTCTTGTCGTTTCAGTCTGGTATGAGGATCCCAACTGAGACGTTTGTCCAGGTGGAGTCCTAGGTAACGGATTTGTTCAACAGGAATAAGTGAGGTGTTAAAGTATACTGAATGACAAGAAGTCATTAGTTTACGTCGAAGGGTGAAGGTAATTTGATGGGATTTATTGGAATTTATTTTAATTCTCCAGTTTTGACACCATTCTTCAAGGTTTGTGATGTGTGATTGCAGGGTTTGGGATGCAATTGATGGATCATGAACATAAATTAGTAAATACAGTTTTCGAATACTTATCATCTAAAGTGATAATAAAACTGAGTTTTTTTAATTAAGATCCCTATTATATAAATTGATCCTTATTAATAAGTGACCAATTAAGTGTTTCCAATCCTAAAATCTACGTGTAAAATAAATAACATTGCTAGAATTATTTTCACGAAATTGCAAAAGTAGGATTGGAAACATTTAATTGATCACTTATAAATAGGGATCAATTTCTGTAATACAGAGCTTGGTAAAAAAAAAAAAAAAAGCAATGGCATTGCCATTTTAAATAATAAATATTTGAAAAAGCATAATTTTAAACATTTTTTTGTAATAAATAAAAGTGTATTTACGAATTATGTCTATATTATACATCCCAGATGAAGGGAACATTAAATTAGAACTTTGCAATAATTTATTGTAGTCATGTTTGCCATGACAACTTAAAGGTGAAAAGGATACCAGAACACAAAATTTTTTTACCTAGCTTGAGGTGGATTTCAACTAAATTCATTATAACACCTCAACTTAATTAATACGGACTTAAAGCTTACGAAACAAGAAAGTTTTTCTAAAAATGGGCTAAAAGATCCTGCCACAAGCCATCAATTCAATAAATCCTTGGAAGAGAAACATAGCATTAGCTACATAAATTGACAAAAGATGGGACATGCTGAGGGAATAATCCACAACACTGGGAGAAAGATCATTAGCAGAAAACTTGACAAAAGGACCCTTTGGTTTGACTTGAAATGCAAACTGGCTACAGACGAGAATAACACTTAATGATCAAGATAAGGCACATCAGAGCATCTGTAGAAAAGTACAGAAATAAAAGGACAGAAAAAATAATACATCTTGGGGACTGAAAGAGTTAGAGGAAATCAAGATGTTCCAGACTTGGAATTAAATAAGAAAGGTTTGCTTTCGAATTATCAGATCCTGGCAGTCATGCAAGCCCCAATCAAATGCCTATAAAAACAAAGATGGTTCTTGAATCACTGAGAGAGAAAAAGTTACTGGATGTTAGAGGAAACACCTTGAGTGATTATAGAGTCCAGTAACCAAGTTACTGGACGTAGGAAGAACACCCTCTTAAATGGAGAGTGCAAGGGTGCCACATGAGTTATGAAGAGTTGAAATCAACATATGTAGAGGACATCAGAGATGCCATAGATTGGCTGAAAAATAATAATGCACCAGGAATGGATGGAATACCAGCTGAACTTTGGAAACATCAAGGAGAACCTGTCTTTAGTATATCCATAACCTGATATTAGACATCAAGGTAGAGGAGTGCATTACTGAAGAATGACACAAAACTATTATATGTCTCTTTCATAAGAAGGTGGATCTTCTTAACTATAAGAACTATAGAGGAATATCTCTCCTTTCCTCTTCTTATAAGATATTTTCCAATATCCTTTTTCTATCGGTTATTACCTTTTGTTGAATAAATTGGCCAATATCAATTAGGCTTTATGAAAATTAAAATTAGGATGGACTAAATTTTCTCAGTGAGAATGATGATGCAGAGAGAGAGAGAGAGCTATAGAGTATAATATCCAGACCTACTACCTCTTTGTAGATTTTCGTGCTGCCAAAGACAGCATGTCTCAAGAGGAGCATAATGATGAAATAATTGCTCTTGGTATCATAAATTCATAAAATTACTAAACTTTATAAATTCATAAAAAGATTCTTTCAAGAAGGAATATTTAAGATGAATTAAAAAAAAACAAATCTGCATACCATCTTTTTTTAGCTTTGCCTCCGTACTTCTCTCCTTGTACTACTAATGGACTAAAGGTGATCTCAAAAGTACAAGGAGATAAGGAAGGATTTATTATTATAATTATATATTTGTTTACAAAAGGGCTCATTTAATACTTTTTCAATACACCATAAAAGAAGTAAACAATATATATATATATACACAATGTATAATTGTATGTATAATAGTAATTTGGCTGAATTTGTTTTTTTAAATTAGTTCGACATTTAAATGAAAAATATATATATTAAAATTTATTATCTGAGGGTTTGTTCATTATGATTATGAAAGTATTAGAAGTCCATTTTCTTAGTGTCTGGTTGCATACAAACTGGTAGTCTATCTTCTTGTACTCCAACATTCACATCTGCACCTGTTGAACACAGGAGACTAACTGATGATGAGGCTTGCGTTTCCCCCACCACAATCTGATTATAGTGACGGCATTTCAAATATCAAATATCAAATATTACTTATAGAAATCACAATATATATACAGTATATCACAGTGGATATACGGTATATATCCCGTAGGTAAAGGAAAATTTTTATAGAAGTGATGCAGACATGAAGATCTAAAAAAAGTTCATATAATTGCCCAATTTCCAGCAGAAAAGTAGGAAATTTAAGATTTGTGTTTGTTTAAGTGAGTCACATTTTGTTGAATAGGAAGAGATAACTTAAAAATAAAAATTTATCAAAGCAATTAAACACTGCTCTATAGTAGACTAGACAATATTTACTCTAAACGGAAGTAAAGTTTATCATCGTTAAAACTATTTAAAGAAGACTATTGAGCGGAAAACAGAGCTAAGTTCCGTTTAAAAAAAAAGTCATAAATAATTTATTATTTTTGTTATCACACTGTAACTGTACAACATTTCTCCCACATAAAGCAAAACTTTCTCATTTAATAAGCTTTTTAATTTCATATTAATTAAATTGAGGTTAATTAGGAAATATTTTGAGATTAACCCAAGTTGTGTAAAGAAATGATGTGATTTTCTATCCAGCCACCTAAAAGTACCCTTGCTTTCTGCAAAAATGACTACAATTAACAGTTGCAAAGCTTTTATTTGCAAAAATAATAGATTTAAAAATGATGATTTTTCATGTAAAATGGCTATGAAATTGTGTTTTTCCCCCAGATCTCCGTCATGAGATGCTCAAACTGAACAAAACTATCACAGGAGATTTCTATAGACGACAATTGATGTGTTTGAGCCAAGCCCTAAACGAAAAACGACTGACTGCTACACGAACAGGGACATGACAAGTTGATTTTATTACATGATAGCACTTGGCCACATACTGCAAAACTGGTAAAATCCTAAATGAGATGTACTACCCCACCAGTCATATTACTCAGGTATAGCCCCTTCTAATTATCACTTTGTTCGATGATACATGGCCTGATTGAGCAGCACTTTACTTAAAAAAAAAAAAAAAAAAGAAATGAGTAGATGCTAGAATAGCCTTAAAAGACGAGTTTTTCCAATATGAAATTTATATGCTGCCAGAAAGATGTGAGAAAGTAGAGGCTAATGATGGGCAATACTTTGAATGACATATTTTTACCACTTACTTTAAATAAAGAATTAATTTTTAGAACAAAACAGTGAGAACTTATTCAAGGTCCCCTAATGTGTATTTAACATACTCAAACTAGGTGTTTTTAAGGGACAGGAAATAGAAAAATATTAGCATGTTTTATCATCACAATTGACCTCTTAACTCAGGTTATCCTGGGGTTTAGTTGGTCCCACTGTTTAATGATTATGCATATTAGATCCTTAAAATATTTGTATTTGGTCTCAAAAAGAAGTCAATCGATATATAATAAAATAAGAACAGTGTAATTGGTTTACATTTACATAATATACATTAATTCAATCACATTTTTTAACAAACATAATCATACATTACACCTTCAATTATTAATAATTGGCTTCAAATAAAGTTTTTTCTCAAGAAGACTACGAAATTCTGGTTGTTGAATAATTTGACAGGTTTTATCAAGGGAAACTGACTGTGCTTTAACTTCTCTGATAGTATATGTGATGATACTAAGCAAGCATTCATTTTCATGTTCTTTCATACATTTGCAAAGCGCTTGTACAAACCAGCTTCCTAGAAACAAGAATAAATCAGGATAATTTGAATAATATATATATATATATATATATATATATATATATATATATATATACAAATGAAAAACTAAAAGCTATACCTGTTTTTCTGTCTCGAAATGCCTTGAAACCTGTGACAGTAGACATAGCTATTAGAAGGTCACTAATATGACTTCTAAACTTATGTCGTACCTGAGTTGCCTGATCAAATTGTAAAGACGATGGTCCATCTGTAGCTAAATCTATTGTAACAGATAAACAATACATATATATTAAAAAGTTATAGAATACAAACCTCGCGCGGGCTCATTACCGCGTATGGGGAGCGTCCCACGGGTGGCGGATGTGGGGATGGTCGGTGGAAATTCCTTGGAAGTTCCTCCCGGCTAAGTCCGATGGACTCGCTGACCAACAACGAGAGGGGCCCTCCAGACTTGCTGGAGGGAGGGGACCTCCAGACTTGCTGGAGGTAGGGGCCCACCAGACTTGCTGGAGGGTGTGACGTAGGATTGAACGCCCTACTCACATATCTTTAGTTCACCAAACACCACAAAAAGTCATGGATCTCCCTAAGGTAAAACGCTCATTATCCGGAGGTAAACTAGTCCCCCGTTCGGGTCTCCGGGTGGGGACTGCTTTAGGGGATTCATGGCGCAAGTTGAAATATAGGGATTTAAATATTGGTACGTGGAACTAAGTAGTTTAAACACAGCAGGGGGGCTAAAATCGGTCGCGAATGAGGTAAATGGGTACAATTTGGATGTCGTGGCTCTGCAAGAGGTTCGCTGGCCAGGGGAGGGCTCGATGAGGGAAGGAAAGTACACTATTTGGTACGGAGGAAGCGGGAATCATTGTTTAGGTACCGGGTTTCTAATTAGGAGTAGATTACTATCCGCTTTGAGGGACGTACAATTCTTTAGTGATAGAATTTCGGTAGCTACATTTCAGGGACGTTGGTTTAAAATCGCATTAATAAACATACATTGTCCGACCGAAGACAGTGACGATGAAGTCAAAAGTGAATTTTACGATAAACTCGAATGGGTTTATGATAAACTACCGCGAAACTACATGAAAATAATTGTAGGTGACGCGAACGCAAAGGTAGGAAGGGAAGAAGTTTATATTCCGACGATTGGTAAAGAAAGTTTGCACGAATATAGTAATGATAATGGGATCCGTCTGATAAACTTTGCCATCTCGAAAAACCTGATAATTAAAAGTACGACGTTTAAACATAAGGATATTCATAAATATACTTGGACATCACCGGATTCGCAAACACGAAATCAAATCGATCATGTCTTGATACAACACAGCTGGCAAAGCAGTATAATTAATGTACGGTCTTATCGCGGAGCAGAATGTGGGTCGGATCATGAATTAGTAATCGCGAAACTTCGACAAAAACTTAATATAAAAAAGAGAAAAGAAAACCGTTTCGATTTTGAGAATTTTAATTTGGAAAAATTAAAAAATCCATCAATTAGAAACCAATTCGAGCTAGATGTTAAGAATAGGTTTGAAGCTTTAGAGCTTCCTGACGAGGACCACGAGGATATTGACAAGTTATGGGTAGAGATCAGGGATAATATTAAAGCGGTCGGTAACTCGTGTCTAGGAAAAAAGGAAAATAAGAATAACAAACCGTGGTTTGATGAAGATTGCTTAAACATGTGCGAAAAAAGAAAAGCCGCTAAATTAAAAGCTCTAAATAATCCTAGCGAAGACAATCTGGAATACTTCCGAATCTCAAAGAACGAAACGACAAAATTGCTCAAAAATAAAAAAAGGGAGTATCTTAAAAATAAAATAATTGAAATAGAAACTAATAGAATCGAAAATAACGTAAGAGACATGTACAAAGGTATAAACAGATCACGTAAATATGTAGGGCCCGTAACGTCTGGAATTAGGGATGATAATAACAATATTCTGACCGATCCGGTTGACATATTGAATAAGTTTAAGGACCACTTTGACAATATTTTAAATACGGGAAATTATGATCTGTGTCCTCCTTCTGAGTACCAGAGTGCTGAACCGTTAATAGAAGGACCAAGTAAAGAGGAAGTTGAAGTAGCTATCGGAAAATTAAAATCATATAAAGCAGCGGGAATCGATAATATTCCTACTGAACTAATTAAGGCATGCGGGGAAGCTGGAGTTTCTAAAATACATCGGTTGGTTAAAAAGATCTGGGTGAACGAGAAATTACCTGAAGAATGGAAAGAATCTATTCTTATTCCGATTCACAAAAAGGGTCCGAGGACGGATTGTAATAACTATCGAGGAATTTCACTCCTTCCGGTATGTTATAAAATATTCACTTTAATCTTAACCAGTCGAATCACGGAATACGCCGAGGAAATTATCGGAGACTACCAATGCGGATTTAGACGGAATCGTTCGACAATTGATCAAATATTTTCTTTACGGCAAATATTAGAGAAACAATTGGAGTATAACGGTATTGTTCACCAGCTGTATATAGATTTTAAAAAGGCTTACGATTCTATTGACCGCCAGAAACTGTATAATATTCTAATCGAGCAGGGGATTCCAAAAAAACTAGTAAATCTAGTCAGGATGTGCTTGATTTGAGGTTCGTTCGGGTTTAAAACAGGGGGATTCTCTTTCGCCTGTCCTGTTCAATTTGGCATTAGAACATGCCATTAGGGAGGTAATGCGTACCGAGAAAGGGTTGGATCCTGGCGGGACAACATCCGTGCTGGGCTATGCTGATGATCTGGTACTGTTAAGCGAAGACGTTGAAACTATAAAACTAAATACGACGACGTTAATGAAAGCCGGTAAAGAACTAGGACTCGAAATAAACGTGGATAAAACAAAATATATGGTTAGCTGCAAAAATGGCGATACTACTGGTGATATCGATATAGATGGTAATATGTTTGAACAGGTAGATAAATTTAGGTATCTAGGTTCTACGATAACTAGAAAAAACGAAATTGAAGAAGAGATTAAGGTTAGACTGAAGGCGGGAAATGCTTGTTATTTTTCTGTGACAAAACTACTTAGTTCGCGCCTCTTGTCCCGAAACTTAAAAATTAGAATCTATAAAACAATTATCTTGCCTACAGTTCTTTATGGATGCGAAACTTGGCCGCTTACATTAAGGGATGAGCAGCGTCTTAAGGTTTTTGAAAATAAAGTATTGCGTAGAATATTCGGACCGAAGAAGGATGAGTTAACCGGAGAGTTCAGACGGTTACACAACGCCGAATTGCGTGAGCTGTATCCGGGTAATATAATTGAGGTAATTTCATCGCGGCGAATCAAATGGGCTTGTAAAGTTGTTGGACTTAGTAACAAGAGAATTCCTAAAAGGTTAATATTATTATTATTGTAGAATACAAAATATTACATAGCACCATTCTCATTGATTGATTTTTCTCTCAAATTTCAACATTTAAATTAAATTCATTTTTATTAAATAATAATTATTAATTAAATCTAAGAAATTCATAGAATTTGTAAATTTAATTCCAAGGTCACTTTTTTTGTTTAATGCTTCAAGTAAATTTTGTTTCTCTCATTATTTTATAATTATTTTATACTAGGTGAAATATTTTTAATTTATAAATTTGTTATCATGTATTATTTCATTTATTATTTTTCTCAATATATAGAATTTTCGGCTATTCGGCACTTAATTTCTATACATATTTATCCTCAATAGATTTTGTTATTTTAACATCTTAAAATAAATTGATTAATAAGGCTCCAGTGCCTATGGATTAGGTTGCTGAATTGGCTGTTCACTTTTGAACACCCGCTGCCTCCACAGTACTAAGCCTAATACCATCATTTGTTTGTTTGGGCTTTAAGGTGTAAAATCTTAGGATATCTATGTTATCTATTGAGTTTAGAAACTCCTTAGAAGAGAACAAAAAAAGGATTAATGATAAAAAAAACTAATAATAATTAAATAGAATAATAAATAAAAAAAAATATTTAAAAACATGAAAAATGAAAATTATATTCATTTCTACATTTTATCTAATAGTCTAAGGATTTTAAGAAAATTTAAAACTGTTTAAATGTTTGATTCGTTATTGTTTAATAATACTGATATATCTGATCCTAGAGATAATCTGTATAAGTTTGATGTATAATAAGGACATTCCTGAAATGACAGGCAAAAAATTCCACCCACTTGATTTTTTCAGGTTTTCATCTAAAAATATTTCTGCTTTGGATTGACTTCTTGTTTTTAATGAATAAATAGGTAATCTTTTTGTTTGTTTTCAGTCAGGAATGTTAATAAAGAGGACAATTACCCTTAATCCTTAATTCAATGAAATGATTCTAGATTCCAATGTTTACTTTCTATGGAATCAAAATGTTTATTCAGTATCATTAGTTCAGTGCCGTTTCTTGCAGCACATTTCTTAGTCTATGGCTTTTAAATTTTTCAATATTAAGTTTAAAAATGCCTCTTAGTGCTGAGGAAGTTGCGCGTGGTGTGGCACTTATTGATGATGGACGTTCCATTAGATATGCAGCTAATGCCATCGGAGTACCATATGAAACTTTATGAGACACCGTCAAGCATTTTCCGGAAACTGGTTCTTACAATAGAAGGCCCGGTTCTGGACAGCCTAGGGTAACACAACCCTGGGATGACCGGTTTTTGACTTTGAGAATTTTATGAAACCGGCACCTTATCGTTGTTCAAGCGATTCATCAGCTCGAAGAAGTTGGAGGTGTGCAAATTTCTGAACGTACCGCTCGGAGAAGATTAAATGAGTATGATTAATGACTTTTCGTCCAGTAAGAGGACCAGAGTTGACCAGACCAGAGTACAGTGCTTTGCTCGAGAACACAGCCATTGGACTATGGACGAATGGAGTGCTATACTTTTTACAGTCAAGATTCGCTCTTTGATCTCCAGATGGGTGTGAAAGGGTATGGAGAAGAAGAAACAAAAGATATGCAGCCTGTAATTTTTCCCAGAGCCAACCTTTCCAACATGGTTCCTTAATGGTGTGGGCTGGGATTGGGGGGGGGGGGGAGGGGGAGAGGCGATGAACCAAAAAAAAAAAAAAATGGTGGGAATTTTTATTTTGTGTTAAAATTCAACATAATTATTGTGAAACGAACAATTATAATATTAAAATTTAAGTTAAAATTACTTTGTTTATAGGTTGTTGCATAATTGTTAGTACTTTTATTTTTACTGATTATATATTTAGGTACCTGGGTATACTTGAAAATA